AAAGAGAGAGAGAGAGTGAAAGACAAGGGACGTATCTCGTGTTCAGTAGTCGTATTTGTCGTATTTCAGTAAGATTTTCCCACTTACCTAAAATCTTTAACACAAATCCTTCTACTCCCGCTCTGGTGCATTATTAGCCAAATTGAAAACCAGGTACACCAAACCACACTGGATCCCTACGGCAAATGGAGCCTACTTATACTAAACGCACAAGTTGTGAAAAGTCTTTAACACCCTCAACCTGTAGCTTCGTCGTCAGTTGGCATTTTGGTCCAACCGTGACTCTCTCTCTCTCTCTCCCTCTCTCCCTCTCTCCCTCTCTCCCTCTCTCTCTCTCTCTCTCTCTCTCTCTTTCTCTCTCTCTCTCTCTCTCTCTCTCTCTCTCTCTCTCTGCACCCTCACCCCCACAACCAATCCTTTCTTCCCTGGTGGGTCCCTTTCTCTGGCTGCAAGTCAAAGTCAAAGCGTTGAGAGCGGGTGGAACGAGGGAGTCGGCACACCCATTGACCTGGCTGCTTATCTGAATCAGTGACTTCGGGAACCGGAAACTTTCTAGCTGGTTAGCAATCGCGTTTAAAGAGTAGCGCTGGGATCTAGCATTAAGCCTGAAACAGCCTGCCTTCATTCACCATCTTCACGTTTACTTTTTTCGGCCTCTGTCACTTTCTGGTGTCGACAGGAGAAGCAAAAGTCTTTCTCTTGTATTTTGTACCTCCTGTTGCATAGTTATCTTGTTCTTGACTGTTTCTCTGACCCCCTCTATCCACCTTTTCCTGGGCCTGCCCCTTCCCGATTCAGCCTGATTTCTGGTTGTATGCTCCCTCTGTTATTTCTACTGTCTGGTGGTAGATCATTCATCGTTACCACATTTTTAAAAAAACCCGATGGGTTATTCCAGTGTAGAGGGTGTACTTATTATAAAGGAACATCGGTAAAGGTAAATATCTAAACCCCATTCTTTAAAAACAAATACATGTATATGTTAAAAAGCGTCTTCGGAAATGACATCACGAGGCCAAAAAGTGGCCCCACCGAAAGTGGAGACTCACGATATGCGTAGTTGGTCACGAAAGCTCCGAGCCGGGGGCTCAAACTATTACCCTAGTATCAAACAATGATTTATATAGTTATTCTTAAGAATCTTTATATTTTTTAATTATTTTTTTTTGGGGGGGGAGCGTGTATTTGTATTAACTAAACCCTATCTTCTTGTTGCTCACATATTCTCTCCCCCCTCCCCCCCTCTTAAATACGGTACATGTCTTCGGTTCGCCGTCAGAGCATTGACTGCCACCTTGGCAAACGCAATTTTAATTAGATTTGATTATGTGAGAGGGGTCAAAGTATTTCCTTTCATCCTCATGCCCTGATGCGTGTTCCTTACTTTACATAACGTAGTCTGGGTCGTAACGAATTTAACTTCAAACTACAAAATCACCACAGTCAATACTAACAACAACAACAACAGCAGCAGCAGCAACAACAACAACAACAACAACAGCAGCAACACTAATAACAACATAGCAACAACAAGAAGCAACTGATCTTGGAAGTCGATTGTAGCGACATAAACGAATGAACCACAACGCATGCAAACTACAGCATTGATTCATTTTGCCTACCACAAGGTTTTCGGTTTTGCTTCCCTGTCAGCGTATACCTGTTTACCGCGACCAATATCGTCCACCCGTTCACTGTTACTATCATGTCTATGGACCCACCACACGCTTGGCGACGGGCCCTCGTTCCGCAAACAACTGGCCAGCCGTCCGCGACACAGCCCAAGTAGTTTCCGACCCGGTCATATCGCACAGTCTTTCCCTGTCCATAATCGAACCACGCCAAGCGGTCGTAAAGACGATTAAGCTCCCCCCTCTCCTCCCCCTCCTCCCTCCTGGCTCTCTCTCTCTTTCTCTCTCTCTCTCCCCCCCTCTCTCTCCCTCTCTCTCTCCCCCTTTCTCGCTCTCTCTTACCCTGTCTCGCTCTCTCTTACCCGCTTTCTTTCTTTCTATCGCCTTCGCCCCCCCTCTCTCTCTGTGTCTCTCTCTCTTTCTCTCTCTCTCTCTTTCTCTCCCCCCCTCTCTCTCTCTCTCTCTCTCTCTCTCTCTCTCTCTCCTCTCTCTCTCTCTCTTTCTCTCTTTTTTCTCTTTTTTCCTCTCTCTCTTACACTCCCCCCCCCCTTTCACTCTCACTCTCTCTCTCTCTCTGTCTCTCTCTCTCTCTCTCTCTCACACGCACTCTGTTCTAGGAGGAAGGTATAAAAAAAAATAAGGTGAGTAATATGTATGTATTCTGTAGTTAATATATATAGATACAAGTAAAGGAGAAAAATGCGCGTGCGTGCATGAGGGGAGCGCCATCACGTGGTTTATATTAAGTAGGG